GAAAAACCTTCTTTTCAGCAAAAAAAGGCCATAAAAACGCGATCCTTCGGTTTTTTGAGCTTTTTCTGGATGTCACTACTATATTTGCCTCATTCACATTCATCCTTACATAGTTAGTCATTAGTTATATCATAATATCCGGGCTTCGCCCCGGATGACTTCTGTATTCCTCTCCAGGTGAAGGTTGTGTCCTTTCATGACACTCAAAGTGAAGGTTACCAGAGTACGTGGCTCTATGTATCGAAGGTATGGTTACGACCAGATGTGCGATAGGTGGAGCCGGGCCCCCCAAAAGTGAAGGTGGTTCCAGTTACCACTGGCCGGCCAAAAGTGAAGGTGGTAGTGTCGGACACTCACCTCCCAAAATCCCGAGCGGGGGGGGGGGGGTTAACGTCGACTGAGCCTATCCTCCAGGTCGTTGCCGCCATGCGCGGAAAATAAGCAAAACAAATGCAAAAGAGATCATTGAAAGCAGATTTTTTATGTATAATACGGCATAAATATCTAAAATAAAGTGCTTATCAAATGGCGTATCTAGGAGTAAAACTCAGCGGAACTGTAAGAATTTTACTAAGTAAATTTGTTATAAAGTACAGCGGAAAAAGTAGGTTGATCCAGGCAGTAACCACCGAGAACCAGAATTTCGAATAATAAATTAACGTAAAATCATGCGAAATTTCCACTGTTATAAATCTGGTGGTTGAAGATGTCAGCAAATGCGACTTCATAGCTTTTGAAGGGCAAGTATTGTTCTACTAGATAGTGAAAAAACTAGGCCGATTTGAGCATTGGCCGCCGAGAACGAGAATTTTGAATAATCAAGCGATTTTAGGTTACTTAGTGACAGCTGACGTTTAGACTCCTATAAATCTGGAGTATGAAGGTATGCAATGTTGCGACTTTATAGGTTTTGCAGAGTAAGAGTTGCTCTATCGGATTATGTTTTAGCCTTACCGATCTATCAAGGTACCGCCGAGATTCAGGCTCTTAAAAAAACAGGTAAAAAAGCGCTTTTTGAACTTCAACAGCTCATAACTTCTTCAGAATTGCATGAGTCATGTTGCGACTTCATAGGTTGGATTTTCCTCTTCAAGAGCTTTCAGATGATATATAATGTGCGGGGGTTTCAACGATTTTTGCGGCTCTAACCCAGGGTGGAGACTTTTTACCCCAAAGTCTCCACCTCGCCCATGTTAATGTATTGGCCAAAGACCGCTAGTGGAGACTTTGGAGTGAAAACTCTCCACCCCCGGGCATATGCCGTGGAAGGCGAGAAACCCCCGCATATTATATATCATCTGAAAGCTCTTGAAGAGGAGAATCCAACATATGAAGTCGCAACATGACTCATGCAATTCTGAAGAAGTTATGAGCTGTTGAAATTCAAAAAGCGCTTTTTTACCTGTTTTTTTAAGAGCCTGAATCTCGGCAGTATCTTGATGGATCGGTAGGGCTAAAACACAATCCGATAGAGCAATTCTTACTCTGCAAAACGTATAAAGTCGCAACATTGCATACCTTCATACTCCAGATTTATAGGAGTCTAAACGTCAGCTGTCACTAAGTAACCTAAAATCGCTTGATTATTTAAAATTCTCGTTCTCGGCGGCCAATGCTCAAATCGACCTAGATTTTCACTATCTAGTAGAACAATAATTGCCCTTCAAAACCTATGAAGTCGCATTTGCTGATATCTTCAACCACCAGATATATAACAGTGGAAATTCCGCATGATTTTTTCGCTATTTTACCATTCGAAATTCTGGTTCTCGGCGGTTACTGCCTGGATTGGCCTACTACATAGATATCTGCTCTCAATACTTTCTTTTGCGTTTCTTTTGCTTATTTTCCCTCTTTTGAGCTTCAGCAAAAAAATTTCAAACCCAAAAGTGAAGGTGGTCACCCCGTACCAGCTCAAAAGTGAAGGTAGGCGGAGAATCGAAGGATAGCCAGAAGTGCATTGTTCCACGTTGGAGCACTATACAAGAGAAGAAGGACAATCGCATATGATCACTGCGTGATTATTCTGAAAAAAATTTGTTTTCCATCGAAGAAGATTGAGAAATATAAAAGATCTTAGAAGGAGAACTCAATCATAACTAGCCTACTCTAGTTTAGAAGTCTAGTTCCCATCCGCTTTTAGAAAACATACAGCTTGCCAGGAGAAAGAGGAATTTTATTCTGCCAGGTAGAGATAGTTTTAGTCATTTTTTCAAAATTGTAGAATTTTTTTATAAAAAATTATAAATTTTTGATATGAGAGATAAGAGAGTCGCTAGCCATACATAGAATTACTCTTGTTGAAAGCTTCCAGAAAATATATAACTTACCAAGAAAGAAAGGATTTTCTGTAGGGTGAAGGTGGTCGCAATCACAGGTGCGATAAGGTGAGAATGATTCCTCCAAGGTGAAGGGGGTCACAGTGGTCGCAGCCCCCCCCCCAGGGTGAAGGGTGTTTCACTTGGTAGAGAAATTGTGAAATGTCGACGGGGGGGGGGGGGGAGGGAGCCATGGCGTTTTCTCGTTATTTTTCCTAGTCAAAGTTTATAATTTATTCCTTACCATCACTGGTTATCTTTTTTCTGAAATGTGAACCGATGTGCTGCTAGATTAGCACGCAATTATATTTCTGACCAGCACCTTGCATTTTTTTAACAATTCCTTTTCCTTTTTTATATCACCCTGCCTGTTTTCGGAATTACCATAGAAGACGTTCATGCGATAACATTTGTTTCGGAAAGGGTTAGACAATTTTCAAACATTTACGAATTTTTTAAAGAAGAAATTCATAATTATTGTAGATGAACAGCAACGTCAGCAAGGGAAGTGTTTTTATAACCATCTTGTCTTCCGCTTTTAGAGAATATATAGTTTGTTTGGGGTCTGTTGAAAAACCTAATGAAGAGTGTGGGTAGTGATTTCTGGATGTTTACGAGTTTTTAGGATAGAAAAATTCGTAACTTCTGGAGATGAATATCTTGTACGCCGCGATGGTCACCATTGAAACCGCTCGTCCTCCGCTTTCAGAAAATATATACCTTGCCTGGAGTCCATCAAAAAAAGTGCTTGGGTGAAGGGTGTGCCTAGTGATTTTTGGAAATTTTCGAGCTTTTACGTAAAAAAATAATAAATTTTGAAGATGAACATCTTGTACCCTGTGATGGTCACCATTGGAACCGCCTTGTCCTTCGCTTTCAGAAAATATATACTTTGCCTGGGGGTCCATTAGAAAAATGCCGGGTGAAGGGTGGGTGAGACTTTTATAATGGGAGTGCTCAAGTACAGGCTTTTTTACCATTGTAAAAAGACGTCTACTTGAGCACCCTTATTATAAAAGTCTCACCCACCCTTCACCCGGCACTTTTTCTATCGGACTCCAGGCAAGGTATATATTTTCTGAAAGCGGAGGACGAGACGCTTCCAAAGATGACCATCTCGCCGTAAAATATGGTCATCTACAAAAGTTATGAATTTTTTTATGTTAAGAACTCGAAAATCTCCAGAAATCACTAGGACACCCTTCACCCAAGCACTTTTTGAAGGACTCCAGGCAAAGTATATATTTAGTCGGTCCGAAAGTTCTGTCGTTTCATTTTTGAAAATTTGTAACTCTGCGCTACCCCAACGGATTTGCATCCGTGTAATTTTGTTTGAAAGCATAAGTCTTTCGCTTTCGAATACAGACTTGATTAGCTTCTATTACACACTGACTGCAGAGATAAAAATGAAAAAGTAAGACCAACTAAGTTTTGCTCATTTTAAGTTAGGTCGCCATAAATCTGAAACGCTACAGAAAAATCTGAAAGGTTCAGTTTATAAGTTTTTTGACCTACTCTTTATAACTGTGAAAAGGCTGTGCTGTTTGAACGTCTCTGAGAGAAGTTTTGAATTTCGGAAAAAGTGACAAATTACCCTATTTTCAGGTGTATAAGCCGCACTTTTTCAAATTTTCGCCCGGGCTGCTCAGCCGCTTCATTGTGTTTCGAGAAGCGATCCTTATGCCGTGCGACTCTTTCACTCAATACACACCACGGCGTAGGGTCTTTTGGTTGCGGGATCCTTTGATGTATTCCGGCTGGTCGATTTAAGCTAGGACCACCCCCGCGGCTTATACACCTGAAAATAGGGTAATTAATTTTGGCATTTTCTGTAGTCAATTCGAAATTCAAAACTTCTCTCAGAGACGTTCAAACAGCACAGCCTTTTCACGGTTATAAAGAGTAGGTCAAAAAACTTGTAAACTGAACCTTTCAGATTTTTCTGTAGCGTTTCAGATTTATGGCGACCTAACTTAAAATGAGCAAAACTTAGTTGGTCTTACTTTTTCATTTTTATCTCTGCAGTCAGTGTGTAATAGAAACTAATCAAGTCTGTATTCGAAAGCGAAAGACCTATGCTTTCAAACAAAATTACACGGATGCAAATCCGTTGGGGTAGCGCAGAGTTACAAATTTTCAAAAATGAAACGACAGAACTTTCGGACCGACTAAATATATACTTTGCCTGGAGTCCTTCAAAAAGTGCTTGGGTGAAGGGTGTCCTAGTGATTTCTGGAGATTTTCGAGTTCTTAACATAAAAAAATTCATAACTTTTGTAGATGACCATATTTTACGGCGAGATGGTCATCTTTGGAAGCGTCTCGTCCTCCGCTTTCAGAAAATATATACCTTGCCTGGAGTCCGATAGAAAAAGTGCCGGGTGAAGGGTGGGTGAGACTTTTATAATAAGGGTGCTCAAGTAGACGTCTTTTTACAATGGTAAAAAAGCCTGTACTTGAGCACTCCCATTATAAAAGTCTCACCTACCCTTCACCCGGCACTTTTTCTAATGGACCCCCAGGCAAAGTATATATTTTCTGAAAGCGAAGGACAAGGCGGTTCCAATGGTGACCATCACAGGGTACAAGATGTTCATCTTCAAAATTTATTATTTTTTTACGTAAAAGCTCGAAAATTTCCAAAAATCACTAGGCACACCCTTCACCCAAGCACTTTTTTTGATGGACTCCAGGCAAGGTATATATTTTCTGAAAGCGGAGGACGAGCGGTTTCAATGGTGACCGCGGCGCGGCGGCGTGCAAGATATTCATCTCCAGAAGTTACGAATTTTTCTATCCTAAAAACTCGTGAACATACAGAAATCACTACCCACACTCTTCATTAGGTTTTTCAACAGACCCCAAACAAACTATATATTCTCTAAAAGCGGAAGACAAGATGGTTATAAAAACACTTCTCTTGCTGACGTTGCTGTTCATCTACAATAATTATGAATTTCTTCTTTAAAAAATTCGTAAATGTTTGAAAATTGTCTAACCCTTTCCGAAACAAATGTTATCGCATGACGTCTTCTATGGTAATTCCAAAAACAGGCAGGGTGATGTAAAAAAGGAAAAGGAATTGTTAAAAAAAATGCAAGGTGCTGGTCAGAAATATAATTGCGTGCTAATCTAGCAGCACATCGGTTCACATTTCAGAAAAAAGATAACCAGTGATGGTAAGGAATAAATTATAAACTTTGACTAGGAAAAATAACGAGAAAACGCCATGGCTCCCTCCCCCCCCGTCGACATTTCACAATTTCTCTACCAAGTGAAACACCCTTCACCCTGGGGGGGGGGGGGGGGCTGCGACCACTGTGACCCCCTTCACCTTGGAGGAATCATTCTCACCTTATCGCACCTGTGATTGCGACCACCTTCACCCTACAGAAAATCCTTTCTTTCTTGGTAAGTTATATATTTTCTGGAAGCTTTCAACAAGAGTAATTCAATGTATGGCTAGAGACTCTCTTATCTCTCATATCAAAAATTTATAATTTTTTATACAAAAATTCTACAATTTTGAAAAAATGACTAAAACTATCTCTACCTGACAGAATAAAATCCCTCTTTCTCCTGGCAAGCTGTATGTTTTCTAAAAGCGAATGGGAACTAGACTTCTAAACTAGAGTAGGCTAGTTATGATTGAGTTCTCCTTCTAAGATCTTTTATATTTCTCAATCTTCTTCGATGGAAAACAAATTTTCTTCAGAATAATCACGCAGTGATCATATACGATTGTCCTTCTTCTCTTGTATAGTGCTCCAACGTGGAACAATGCACTTCTGGCTATCCTTCCTCATCCATATGATCGTCCAAGTAGGCGGGTTGTAGAAGTCCACGATCCTCGTAGCTATCGTGCAAAACACTCTTCTAGCTTTTCATATAACAAAGTTATGAATTTTTATAAGAAAAAATTTCCTTAATTTTAGAAAGCAATTGCGACCACCTTCACCCTACAGGAAAATCCTTTCTTTCTTTGTAAGCTATATATTTTCTGAAAGCTTTCAACAAGAGTAATTCAATGTATAGCTAGAGACTCTCTTATCTCTCATATCAAAAATTTATAATTTCTTATACAAAAATTCTACAATTTTGAAAAAATGACTAAAACTATCTCTACCTGGCAGAATAAAATTCCTCTTTCTCCTGGCAAGCTGTATGTTACCTAAAAGCGGATGGGAACTAGATTTCTAAACTAGACTAGGCTAATTATGACTGCGTTTTCCTGCTAAGACTCTTATATTTCTCAATCTTCTTCGATGGAAAACAAATTTTTTTCAGAATAATCACGCAGTGATCATATACGATTGTCCTTCTCCTCTTGTATAGTGCTCCAACGTGGAACAATGCACTTCTGGCTGCCCTTCCTCATCCATATCATCGTCCAAGTAGGCGGATTGTAGAATTCCACGATTCTCGTAGCTATTGCATTTTGTCAGTAACACTAATCGTGATTACACTTAGCCTACGATGTAATACGTGCCCTTAGTTGCACCTTCTTCTCTACGCAAACGTTAGGATCTCTGTCAGAGTTTAGAACTAATATTGAAAGTTGGAACAATGACTCTTCAAGGAATCAATCAATGACTTTTCACGGATTTCGCCATCTGCATAGAAAATTCATCCTCTCCAAAAGAATGCAATTCAACTGCGCACCGATCATCGAAGTTCACCTATTATTTCACTTATTATTTCAGAAAATACGTGAGTAACTTTATTGACATATATACAGAAAGGCTTCACACGTAAGTTTTTCTTCAGGCTTTTTCGTCGTTTTCCAAAAGTGAACATTAGGCGGCAAGTTTCCGACGTACTTCTCAGTGAACCTGTAAATAGGTTTTTGATGATCATATTAATGGTATTACAAATTAAAATATTACTAAATTGGATTTTAATAATGTGGATAGTTCTATTAGGTCGTTCCGAAAGTAATGTCGCTTTTTTCAAATGAACGCTACATTTCGTGGAAGCAAGTTTTCTAGGAGATTTTGGTAGCATTCGATGCAGCATTTCATCCTCTTTCCAATGCCTATAATTCCACTGCAGAATACTCGTTGAGCTTTTGAAAAATTACTAAAATCTCCAACCCATGCTTTTTGGGAAGGTCGAGTTTCACAATTTTTCTAATTTTTTGTAATAACTCCCGGAAGGAGTCCAAGTAATGGTTGGATAGAGCAAACCCTATAGGAAACGGTGCTTTTTATTGCTGTTCTCCTTATCTCGTCATAATTTTTGTAAAGTTTTTTCAATAAAGTCACCGAATTTTTGCAGGCTTGTCTCAAACACATATGCATCAAACACCAATAAACTTTCGGATTCTGAAACTTACAAAGGTGGATTATGGTTTAACACTAATTTACAAAGCATATGAGCATTTACCGCTTCAGATTAGCAACTTTCGGAAATTTGGGGTACAGCCTGGGGCGCCCTAGAAAACCTGAATTATGATGATTTCATCCCGGAAAACTTGGTGAATCGGAAACCAAAGACAACTGGTAGAAAGAGGAGAAAAAGCTGCATCTATGACACTCGAGTTGCTTGCCGATTGTTGTTCTGTGAGGTCTGAGTTGACCAAATATGGAATTTGATAGCACTAAAAAATTGGTTCTACAAACTCCAAGAAGCAAATTAAGGAAGAGGAAAAAATTGTTTTGTGTCCTATAGGGTTTGCTCTATTTGTGAGTTGCACATTTTCGGGGAATCAGTACGAAAATATAGAAAAATAGCCGAACTTAACCATGACAAAAAGCATAAGTCGCAGGTTTTAGTAATTTTTTGAGAGCTCATTGCATATTATGCAATGGGATTACAACCATTAGAAAGAGGATGAGATTCTGCATCGACTGATCCCAAGAGCTCTTGAAAATCTTGATTCCACGAAATGTGGCGTTCATTTGAAAAAAGCGACATTACTTTCGGAACGACCTAATATAATTTTGCTTAAAATGTTAATTTCTTAGTCTCACTTTTTCCAGTTCCTCATCGGCCGTGGGTGAAGGGCGGTTAGCTGGATTCCGGCCCTGGGATGAAGAAGGGGGTAGGAACACATTATCGCCTTTTTACATGTATGCCGCAAACTCGTCGTCTCTGTTACAGGTAAGGACCACAATCGACACGCACGGCGCAAGCGAAAACAGGAGGATCTCCATCGTGGGTTATTCTTGGATCATTGTCTGATCCACTTTTAGTCCTCTTTGTCAGGTTTAGTAACCCGCTGGTTACAATGATGATGGCGACGATGACAATGCAGCCACAGCATCATTAGGAACGACAATGATTTAGATTTGCCTCATTTATTTGCTACACTATTTACAACATTTCTACACTATGTACGTACATCATATATCCACAAAACAAAACTAACTACAGGATTATGAGAGAAAACAGAATTCCTTCATTAGTCCATTACTAGAGAGGGCACTACCATTACATATCCGTTTGTACAAATTATACGTACATACATATATAGACAAATATTCAGATCAGAGTACGCTGAGTTTCCCAGATTAGATCTGGGCTTTATAATCTCTCATCCTTCGGGATTATCTTTAGCATATCTATTCCGCGAATTATTTTGCATTATACCCTCTTTTAATAACAATCCTTCAAGGTATTTGCTCAGCAGCCTGTTCTACATTATACCCTTTCATAATCCTATCATTCTTAATGTCATCCACTGACTTTCATTCAATTCTTTTTCCCCTCTTATAGTCCAGCCAGCTGGTACTACTCAGGGAACTGCGACCATCTTTCGGGGGCATTATTAACTATTCATTACAGCGCTTTGGCGCTTTCTCTTTTTCTTAGTGGGTTCTCCACTACTCGCCTCCATTTGACATTCCCTCAGGGGTGGACGGACCACTGGTGGTGGCGGCATTGGATGCGTGTCGGGTGACGCACTTGCCGTTGATGCTTTGCTGCTTGTGGGAAAATCTTTCCCTTCTTGTAGTTCTTCATCGTCAGAAGAATCAATAATAATCTCATTGATTTTTTCCGACACACCTTTTTCAGTAGTTGGCCAAGTCTTCACGGATGTGGGACTGTCAGAAGCTACCACAGTTTCGGCCGTGGGTTTAGTCCCTTATTCGGAAACTCCGTCAATTTTCATCGTCCCTGTGTGAGTCGGGATTTCTTCTTCCTCAACAGACCCAGGACTTCCACATTTGCAAGTTGAGTTGACATTACACCAGCCACTGCCGAGCGTTTCGCCAGTTTCACATACGCGCCCTTCAATGCCAGTATACAACGCTGAAGAAGCCCTTAGAGTCATGGGAGCTTCCTCAGGCTGCAGTCAGGGGAGCCCACTGTATTCTATCTTCGAACGTTACGACGGAAACGATTTGCTAGATTGTTTAATTGCAGCAATTCGCAAGGCAACTAGCCGCCGTTAACTCCCTTCCCTATCCCTTCGAGGTAGGCTCATATTGGGAACCATCGGGTTGAGGGCTGGATGGTATAAGTAGCCCTAAACAGGGCTGCTGGGTCATTTCACTGTGTTGCTCTACCCTGCCAGAGCGGCTAACTTGGGACACAGTACTAGCTTGACCCATTAATTTGTTCTCGATTAGCTGCCGACCGCCAAAGCGTTCGGACGTTACCTGGTCACGCCACTCAGAGGTTGAAAAAAAAACATTGTGACCATGCGCGTTATGCTGGATGGCATTTGGCTACCACAAGAGAGTCATAGTTACTACCGCCGTTTATCCGCGCTTATTCGATTTACTATAATTCAACAATTGGAGCACTGGGGAGAAATCGAGATAGTAAACGTCTGCAAGGACCATCTGTCTCCTCTGTTTTAATTAGACAGTCGGATTCCGCAAGTTCGTACCCCTTTACAAATTTACAACCTGATGCTTTAAAAGGTAGAACAACGGTCGAACTGAAATACAAAATCATAAAACATCCCGTTCTCAATAACGATTCGCTATTAAAAGTTGCAAACATTTAGTGTGTACTAGCTGGTTTACCCGGATCCGCCCGGCCCTGTCAAAGCACTATAATAAAGCTCTCATCCGTAGCCCTTTACATCTTTCCCTAAGCCGACGTCTAGGTGCCACTCTACCCCCGCTGTTTTAGAAATCAGCATGCTCGATTACCAACCCAAAGTCGCGTGGGTTAAACTCTGCAAACATCGATAAAAATTCATAAAATCGATATCTAACGATGATGAAAAGTAGTCCATGACACCCACCCCGCCCCAAAGTGTATGTGTGCCAAGTTTGATCCGAATCGGCTCAGAGATAAAACTATTCGGAACATCTGTACAGACACATATACACACAAACAGACATTCAGATTTATATATAAGGGGTCGCTAGCAAGCGAGTTGGGGCAAATCCATATGTAAATAAATGCTGTTTCAAACATAATTTCAAATGAATTTCCAACTTATCGGTACATGTATTGCCGCAACCGCTCAGAAGCGAGATTTTTGAAGATTTTCTCAAAAATTGGGCGGAAAGTGGATCATATCGCTCTAGAATAGTGTTTCGCCCTAGATCGCTGCTCAGTTTCCTTTCGCAATGTCACTCTCGCACTCACGCTTACATATTGGAGAGAAAAATTGAATTCAAGCAGCGCAAATGCTCTCAAAAGCCATATTCTCGGAGATTTACTCAAAATTTAACCGAAATTGGAAAACAGTTTCAAATATAGCTCAGCTGACATTGCGAAGAGCTTAAAAACGAACGAGAGCATACGAATACTGAGATGGGATGGAGCGGGATCAATAAATGGTATGCTTCACACCTAACTTTCGCAAAGATCACCTCGCATATTTCAACACACTTGGCACGCGCTTGCGTATTTCAACACAACTATCGCAGCAGCAGAGCGTACCCTGCGTGTCGTGGTCTCTCGTTCGCGTTAGGACCTCTGCGTCCTCTCAACCTCATGGTTGCACCGTCGCGTCTCTAAACGATAAGGCCTCGTTCTGCGATTGGCGTCTATTCAAAACAAACGTTGAGGCTATACATGTGGGCCGACCAACCTAGCCGCCGCGTTTTTTGGGATCGGGTTTATATTATAGGAGAAGATTTAATTGCTTTTGGACCGAAGTTCACGGTTTAAGTTTAAATACTGTTCCATTTTGCGGGCAAAAGCCGCATGTTCGTTATTTGTGGTGTGTTTTTTGAAGGATCCGCGCATCGCGAGCTCACCTTTGTACAAACGGGACCTACATCTTAGGAGGGTATGTTATGCAAGAATTCAGCTCGGGTTTTTGCATGCGACCAGGTCAATGAATTTCACCACAGACGGACATACACACACTCTCGAAAGGACAGACGTCCATAACGCTTTATTATAAGCATACTTTCGATGCGTAGAACCATTTACTTTGGTGACCTTCACTTTGAGCGCCTTGATAAAACATAATGTTCACTGGAAAAAAGAATAGAAGTCATTTGGGGCGAAGTTCAGGATATTATGACGTAACTATGCAGGAGTGAATGTAAATGAGGCAAGTGTAGTGAGTGACACCTAAAAAAGCTTACAGCTATCAGAAAACCGAAAAGTTTGTAGCCTTTTTCGCTAAAAAGAAGTTTTTATTCGAAAATTCCTCAAGGTTTTAGGACGACAAATCTCAATAAACTTTTTTCTAGACTACGAGTGAGTGCTAGAAGTTCATGAAAGCTGTTGGAGACAAGAAACTGCGCTTAAATCTTGCGCAGAGAGTCGCAAAACTGGTTGTTTATTTCGTTATGGAGTGATTTTGAACATCGGCGACGTTGTCAGTGTTCTTGCTCATGTCATGTCACTATAAAATGTTGTAGGGTTTGTTAAGACCCCGCCGAGATCTATGACCAGAGCCAAATGCCCCTTTGGCTCTGTTCTCTCTCCGCTGCTCGTCTGCGCCTCCGCTCACTGCGTGCAACCTCGCTTCCCAAAACGCGGGGCGCGGGGCATTTGGCTCCGGTACCCTTTCATTCGTTGTTCTGAACCCATTTACGGCGAACCGTAATCATATCAAAGCTCTTGATCTCTATTTTCACGCTGACGACGTCGCAAGACGCCTTTTTATGATTTAAACGAGAAATCTGGAAAAAACGCGTTTTCGAAAACCTCTTATTTTTTCTTCGATTCAACTCTTTTCACTTTGGTTTTTTCGTGTATTCGATAGACCGTGCTTCTGTCTATCATTTAAACAACGTCGCAGGGCAGAATTCTTTGCTTGAGCCGATTTTTTCTGTGGAAATTAGTAAAAAGCGCATTTTCTTTACCTTGTTCTCTATCACCGCTTTCGCAATGAATTTTTCTAACTTGGAAGGTATTTCCTCAAAATGATGAGCGGAAGAATCCAAACAACCTCGCAGGATTTCGGAATGACAATGAGGGGTGAAAGTTCAAAAAACGCATCAAAAATTAGGTCGGCGTCCATGTGCAACATACCCTTTCAGAAAAGGAATTCGTGTTCGACATGCCCACTTCAGTGGTTGACAAGTTTTCCTTCCTTCGGTCTTCTAACTACGCCACTGCTAAACAGCGTTTATTCGAATGGGTCTTGGTGGAGTGCTTTCTGCTATCTATGAATTTTCAAGTCTCCTGATTTACTTCATATCCCTTAAATCCCATTTTTCTCAAACAACCTTCACTTTTAACAGGGGGCAAGAACTCAGCCAGCTGTTCTTTCTAGGCTTTCTTGACTGTCGAAGGTATGCTCATAAGTATTGATAATGAACAGAACTATGCGCAGAGAGGCATGAAATCAACACGTTCATTGGTGCCTTTTAATCCATGGCTCAAGCTTAGTCCACAAATTTTCTTGTTGCTCTTCATCTGAAGTCAATTCTTAAAGTTTCCCATGCCAGATCGGGTACATTGAGTAAAAAAATTCTTTGCAGAAAAACAAATGCGAACTTGACTGAGCATCATTTACCGGTTCAAAGTTGGCTTGGGAGCTGCTAAGAGACAATATTCACTGTGGACTACATTTCTGATCACAAATGCTCTCGATTCCTAGCTAAAATTCTGTATAGCAACAATCTATCTTCTTTTTGACGCTAATTTTGTGAGGCATCGGTTATACAGGGTGTCCCAAAAAATGAGAACACTGATCGCTAATAACCCTTTTCTTACAAGTTTTTCGAAAAGCTTGATGTACCATTCTGTAGACCGAGGTTCACTTAGATTTACAGTATGGAGCAAATCATCAATCACTCTTCATTACTGTAGGATAACGGTAGGA